AACCACCACAGTGAAGGCCTGGAAGAGCATTAAAAAGGAGGAAACACAACATCTGGTGATGTCCATGAGTTCAAGACTTCAGTCATTGCCAACAAAGACTTCCCAACCAAGTACTAGAAATGAACATTTTATTCACAAATATTTAATCCATCCAATTACTTTTGAGCCTCTGAAGTGAAGGGATTGTGTTTAAAAGGTGCTTTAGTTCCTCTCATTTTTATGCAATCATTTTGTTCAAGCCACTGAAATAAAGCTGAAAGTCTGAACTTCAACTGCAGCTGAATTGTTTGATTTTAAATTCATTGTGGCAATGTCTGGAACCAAAAGTAGAAAAAATGTTGTCTCTGTCCAAATATATATGGACCTAACTTTATGTGTTTAGAAAACATGCAAATGCCAGAGATACGTATATAGGGAGGTTTCATGAACTGCCTCGACACACAAATCTTTCTAACACAGGACTGCACAGCTCTGTGTTACACTTTTGTGTCTTGCAATTGGAATAAACAAATTCAGACGACTGTTCTATGGTGTGCTGTTTTCTTTGAATCACATATTTCTGTTTTTGTTAAATATTTCCTCAATGCATAACAATGGCATTTGGTGCACGGTAAGTCATGTGATGTCTGATCCAGTAATACAGATCAATGGGGGTCAAACAAGAAGATCCACTGGGATGTGGTGTTATATGTTAAAGTCAATTAGATCAACACAAGTTAGAAAACAAAGATAAGCAGATTTCCCATAAGGGTACAAAAGATCAGACAGTATTTCATCATAGTATGAYGACTGAAACATAAACTAACAGTGCAGTGCACAGACATCTTGAGGGGGGCAGGTGCTCAAGTGAAAAAAGTTGTACACAATCACCAGTTGCCTTAGTYTGAAATTTATTAGACACATCTCTTTCTTGGTGCATGTTTATCTACTGAATATCAGCAGCCATTTAATATTCAACACTGCAGGTTATTTTTGTAACAATAAAATTGATAACAACAGAACAAAGAACAGTAAAGACACAATGTTTATTCTTTTACCTCAACATAGAACCTAATTTCAACTAAAGAAATTGTTTTCACAAAATACCTAGTGTCTTTCTTATTCTGTAAAAGATCTTCCTTCCATCTCCCCCTCATTTTGAGGGCCCTCTTTCTGTAGCTGTCCATGATCTGGACTCTGACAAGTTTCTACAGTGCTACTTTCTACGAAAGGACAAAGACTCTGACCTTTCGCCTTCATCCTCCTCTGCAGCTGCTGGTTTGATCCAGGAGCTATTTCTTTTTGTTTTCTCCACTTCTTTTCTTGGCATTATGTTGCACTTGTAAACAAGCTACATCAGTGTTCTACTGTGTATAATAATTAAGGGTTAATAGACGTTCTTCACAGACGAGACACAACTGATACAAGTGAAATTGGAACTTCTGAGGGTTTAGGAAGCAAATCCACTCGTTTTATTTGTTACCTGCTGGTTGAGTCGTCAGCAGGCATCTGCTAGACTGGAGAAGAGGAGAGAAGTGTTTATGAGCCTGTTATGTGTTATGTSGAACTGACCTCAGTGTGTTCACAATGAGAGGTGCACAGACAAAAATAACTTTCCACATGACTTTAGGGTACTGGGCCACATTAAAAAAACAGTTAAAAAAAGAAACATCTGTTCAAAAGGGGCTCTTTAAAGTCCAGAGGCAAAAAGGGCAGGTCCTGAGTTCTATCTGTGTACGTCTATGTAAAAAAATATGTTCGGTTGTCTTTGATGTTAAAGATTAACCATGAGTCTTAAAATGACAAAAGCAGAGAGGAGCGTCACATCAGCAGGAGCTTTGGACAGAAACTAACAGAATTAAGATGAGTWTAACAGTTTTGTTACTGGCTTTGTTCTGTGGTTTAACTTTGGCCCAGTATGGTGTGAATGAAGGAGAAATCACTGTTSAAACACAGTCCTGTTTTCCTGACATGTGCAAGTTCCTGGAAGAGTTTGGTGCCATGAAAGAGAAACAGAGCCATGGAGACAAAACTTAAGCAGACTGAGACAAAACTGCAGCAGACTGAGACAAAACTGCAGCAGACTGAGACAAAACAACAGCAGACTGTCAGGGCTTGGGGGTGAGGAGAACCCAAAATGCAGGCAGGCAGGCAGACCAAATTTAAAGTAATTAAAAAGACTTTAATAAAGAAAAAAGCCAACGTGGTGGCANAAAACATGTAAAAAAGCAGCAGAGTTCTGGAAGAACATTCTTTGGACAAATGAAACCAAGATCAACCTCTTCCAGAATGATGGAAAGAGAAAAGTCTGAAGGTGTGGTACAGCTCATG